TATAAGAGAAAAGGATGGGTGCAAATAAAGATAAGAAGTTTAAAAATAAGAAGGAACAAAAACAAAAAAAGGCTAGGGTTTAGATGTTAAATCATGCTCTTCAATTAAAGAGCACAGATTGTGGGCATGTTTAGTGTGCATCACTTTAAGAGAATTGCAGTACAAAATAAAGTCATTGTGAAAATGATAGAAATTTGGTTTAACCTTAAGATATTTAGCTTTATGGGTGAAAAATTTCCCCAGAATGATAATAATGTTGATGAGAAAGTCACTGTTGTTATTGTCTTCTTCTTCTTCTTCTGTTGGTTTTTATTTGGCGGTTGGCAGACATCTTTAGGTGCATTACCGCCACCTTCTGAATTGGAGTAAGGATCTGAATCTAATTCCTATCCTTATATTACCATACATACATGTATATATACTGTATATGGCTAAGTGGTTAACCTTAACGTCAGACCAACCCTATGAGGGAGGCGCTTCCAACACAGGGGGAACAGATTTTCACAGGGCAACTGAATTTTGTACAACACCTGCTGTACAATACCTGAGCTTGTTGACAAAATATAAATAAACTAATTTTTTTGTTTTGTATTTAACAAATAATAATAATAATTTAAAAATAACATRACCAAGGTTGTGTTAACATCTTTTCTATAACGCTATCAAGTTGTACTTATAAGTCAATGAAAACCATTTACACAGGACTAATCTCAGCACTGGATTATGGAAGCATTGTATATAAATCAGCATCAGATACATCTTTACATAAATTAGATAATATTCAATATCAAGCATTGAGAATAATTACAGGAGCATTTAAAACAACACCAAAAGGAGCAATATTAGTAGAAATGGGAGTACCACCTCTAAATATGAGAAGAGAACAGTTAGCATTAAATTATTGGGTTAATCTAAAAGGTCAAGAACAAAATCATCCAACTCAAGAAATATTACAACCATGCTGGGAAAAGGGGGAAAAAAAAGAAACAAAAAGTTTCGGTAGGATCATAAATCAGAAAACAACAGAAGTTCAACTCAACAACATGAATATCAGCCCAACAGTACCAATACCAATCACACATCCATGGCCATACACAGAAATGTAGATTTAAAATTATTAGGGAAAAAGGTAATAAAAATGAAATAAACTCAGATACATAGAATATATAAACCAATATTATGGATACATAAAAACATATACAGATGCATCAAAGGATACAGATCAAGTCGGGGTAGCATTCATCATACCAGAGTTTGGAGTGAAAGTAGGGAAAAGAATCAATGATAAACTATCAGTAGTATACACAGGAGAAATGATCACAATCTTATTAGCTGTTCAATGGATTGAGGATAATAAACCACTCAGATCAATAATATGTTTGGATTCCAGCTCTTCATTAATCAGTTTAAAAAACAATAGGTCAGAAAGTAGGCAAGATACATGAATAGAAATACAACAAACCTACAGGATTAAAATGATGGGACTAAATGTGATTTTTTTTATGGATACCAGCACAAATCGGAATAACAGGAAATGAAAAAGCAGATAAAATAGCAACTRCCAAAAACAATGTRGTCGAAATAGAAATAAAATTCAGTAAATCAGAATTAAAAAGCATTATAAAGCTAAAAAATGAGAGAAACATTGCAAAAACAGTGGGAGGAAGAAAGAAAAGGTCGATGGTTTTATAGAATCCAACGGAAAACAGGAGAAATGAGGAGCGCTGGAAGAAACAGAATGGAGGAAACAATTATCACGTCTCAGATTTGAACACACTGGATTAAACAAAACATTATTTATAATAGGAAAACAAAATACAGGAAAATGGAAGTACTGTGGAGAAGATGAGGACATAGAATTAATACATTGTCAAAAAAAATGAAAGAAATCAACTAACAGACTCACTGAAATGAATATAAGATTAGATGTTATAGAATTATTACAGAACAATTCAAAATCTGAAAGTACCCAAGCCTTAATACAATACTTGAAACAAACTCGATTATTTGAAAGAATACAGTTTTTTTTAGCGCTGATCCAGTCCACACTCCACACCAGTAGGTGGCGGTAACGCACCTCTCAGTGGTTTGCCAAACTACAGAAAAAGAAACCAAGAAGAAGAAGAAGAAGAAGTACGCATGCGCGGCGTTGTAGGTCAGCGTTAGTGAAGGACGAAAGATGGCGACCGCTCCTGCGAGAAAATTTGAGGTTTTAGTGAATAGAATTCCCTGGACTGCAGCCGTCAGTAAGTAATCTTATGACAGAAAATATGAATATATTCAATATATGTTTTGTTAAATTGTGACTATTAAAAATAATGTAGTTTAACCCTTGATTTGAGACTTTATGTGCTGCTCAGTGAGCCACGCGCCACGTGATGAACTGTCAGCCCAGGTAGTTTTTTTTTAGCATCTTCGGATGTTTCACCGTCTCTATTACGATTCAAGAGCAACWTAAACCTGATGCGCCAAGTATTTAGTGCAAATTGCGTAATAACTCTTCTTTATTGGGCCTTTTGTATGATCACTGTATTCGTGCTCCTGTAAGACTCCGGCATATCAGAATATTAAAACAAAAGTGCTGAGTCTTAAACTGAAGAGTTTGTCCTTAAAATCTTGACCTGATCCGGTTTGCTTTTCAGAGGAGTTGAGGACGTATTTTGGACAGTTTGGCAAAATAAAGCACTGTTACCTTCCATTTGTAAGTTTTTCGCACACAGTCCAAACACATTCAAGTGCTGCACTCAGTCCTATACATTAAAAAAACATGTAAAGCAAACAATTTGTTGTGCAAGAACACATTTTTGTAGAACACTTGTGGTTTTTTTTTTTTCACTTATTAAATCCATCACTGGTAATGGATGCTGACACTAATGAACAAAGTTTCTTCTTGTCTGTGTTTCTGTGATGAATCAGGACAGAAATACGGGCTTCCACAAAGGCCACAGCTGGATCGTATTCTCAAAAGAGAGTGAACTGCAGAGTGCACTTGAAAAACGCTCTCATATTCTGGAYGGGACAAAGGTAAAACTACTCTTTGGTGCACAGACGTAGAGGGCTTGGAGTCTTCACTAATATAGAAAAAGTTGAGCTGACACTGATTTCTATGTCTTCATCCTTTCCAACTTGTCAGTGGGCAAACAGGTTCTGTTTTAGGCTTTATTACAGGGTTTTAAATTAAATTAATTTTTTAAAAATGAAATTAGACTGTCTGCGCTCCATTCTGCACTTTTCATTTACCTGATGATGTTCTCTGGTTCCAGATTKTTGTTCAGAGGAGCAACCGTTCGTTTTCTGACCAGAAGCCCAACCAAAACATTGACATTGACAATGACTGAGTCACTGAGACTGCTTTCATTCCTGCTCTCTCAGCTTCCAACGTCAATCTGCTACATTTGGCATATAAAAATGTGTTTTAACATCCCAAAATGTTTTTCTTTTTGAACAAACCCAAGTGTTTTTGTCTAGTAATACTTTGTGAAATAATCRTGATATTTCCTTCTCTCTCTCTCAAAGACAACTTGTGAATTTGAACAGTTTTCTGTCTGGTAATAAAGACAATGTTTAATTCTGATATTTTACTTGAATGCATTTTCATTTTGTAGTTCAGCTACTCTTTGTTTTATGAATCACGACCATGTATTGACACTAAATGTGGATTTGGTGGTTTAAAATGGACAGGTGTTTCTGAATTTAAGCCTATGAGGATGCAATTCTGAGTAAATTTAGAGCAGGTAAATGTTTGACTCGGGTTATTTCAGCCCTCCTGTGTCTGAAACAGGTAAAAGTGGGACAGAAAGCGTTTAAGTGAACGTCCTGATGCATCTCAGTAATCCAGGAAAAAAAATCAAAAAGAAAAACATTGTATAGGTCTTCTGGACGGGTTC